CAACGCATTCCTTTTATTTACTTTCTCAGTACAATCTTCAAAATCCTTTCAATTACAAGCTTGCAAAGCATCTTGAGACTTCTTAACTTTCGATCCTGAACTCCAGACGTCTTAAGATTACTTTAATTCTATCATTATCTCTAAGCACGTCTACAAGAGTGAATGATGAATCATTAATATATAAAGTTATAAAATGATTCATTGCCACAATTAAATGGCATGATTGACACTTTCTTACTTTTCTTGTTGATTTATTTGTAATATCCTAGTTATTTCTCAGAATAGATAGTGACTTATCTAACAGATCCTGTATTTATTTGATGCTTCACTAATCGTTTGCTAAACAGTCTGCAATTAGTCGATAGTTCATCGATACACAATTAGTTTGCCCAGATTGTTGAACCAATTAATAGAATCCCGTTTAAGGCAGAATTTGATAGATAACCCGTATTGATGAGTCCAATTAGGAGATCAGATTCGAAACACAATAATATTGCTCTATGTACCAAAGTATTGCCAAATAATAAACCGATTACGAAAGAATATAAATTTCTTAACTATCATTTAAGGCCAGCCTTTGTGGTTCAAATAATACACATTTCTTATAAATCATTAATTTTTTATTATACTAAAAATTGTTTAAAATCCTCCTATATAATTTCTTCGGATCCTCAAATACATTTTTTTTCGATTGAAAAGAATTTTCATCTTTTTTCTAAATTTGCCCTTCGACAATTTCATAATTTCTCCGCGAGTAGACCTCGAGGATTGTAGTATGATGTTGAAGGCCAACGTGGTTTGCCACGAAATCTCCAGTTCCTCTCGTACAATGCAAGGTGCTCCATCACGCTGAAAAATTAATCGCCGTCTAATAGTTAGAGCACTAGGTGGATAATTGCATACTTGCAGCAGAAGCATTGCTTCCACGAGCTGCTAATGCAAGCAACATATCAGTGTACTTCCGGTTACTGTACCTTACCATTCACGACAACTTGATACAGACACACGGTTAGATCTTAGGGTCAACGTAAAATAGATAAATTATTAAAAATTCTAACAGAACTAATATACGCGTATTGTTATTCTCAATTGTAAGTACTACGATCGTTATAACACTCTATTACACATCTTCTAAATCTTCTCGATCTCTTCTAGATCGCTTCCAGTAAATTCACAAACGAAGTTGTTACAACCTGGGAAACCAAACTGTACTTTCTTGCGTTCGGAGCACCTCGAGGAAAAAAAATTAATTGCGCTACGCTAAAGCCGGATGTACTTTACGAATAATATCGTAAACAGGATTGTTCTCGGATACCTTGGTCGATTAAATTCTTGAACGAAGAGTTTCCCGTGGATCCAACAACCGGCTGCAACGCGAGTCGCTTTCGATTCAGCTCTGCTCGATGAATGCGTGCTGACGTGCATGCACGTGCGTACATCTCTCATTAATAATACAGTTATGCAACGAACTTCGTGCGCCGGGGATATTAGTGTCTCGCTGCAACGCAGTACATCTACGAATCAAATAGGATAAACGTAACGTTAACAATGTGCACAGTAGGTTACGAATCGTCTCGTCTATCTAATCCTTCGATTCTTTAAACGAACCCCAAACGTGGTTCGTAAGTTGACCGTTTGGAGCCAGCGAAACGTGAAACATGATATCGCTGCATATAATTATCCGCTCGAATTTCGCCTCTGTTGCACGAAAGATGAACGTGCTAACCCTGGAGCGATGTTCATTTTACGAATCATCGCAGTACACACTCTATCAAAACACTATAAAGCTTAGAATAGATCGAGGGTTCCTAATATGGCTTAGCAAAAGTTAGTCGTTCTAGTTTCGTTAACAATGTGCACAGTAGGTTACGAATCGTCTCGTCTATCTAATCCTTCGATTCTTTAAACGAACCCCAAACGTGGTTCGTAAGTTGAACGTTTGGAGCCAGCGAGACATGAAACATGATATCGCTGTATATAATTATCCGCTCGAATTTCGCCTCTGCTGCACGAAAGATGAACGTGCTAACCCTGGAGCGATGTTCATTTTACGAATCATTGCTGTACGCACTCTATCAAAACACTTTGAAGCTTACAATAGATCGAGGGTTCCTAATATGGCTTAGCAAAAGTTAGTCGTTCTAGTTTCGTTAACAATGTGCTCAGTAGGTTACGAATCGTCTCGTCTTTCTAATCCTACGACTCTTTAAACGAACCCCAAACGTGGTTCGTAAGTTGAACGTTTGGAGCCAGCGAGACATGAAACATGATATCGCTGTATATAATTATCCGCTCGAATTTTGCCTCTGTTGCACGAAAGATGAACGTGCTAACCCTGGAGCGATGTTCATTTTACGAATCATTGCTGTACGCACTCTATCAAAACACTTTGAAGCTTACAATAGATCGAGGGTTCCTAATATGGCTTAGCAAAAGTTAGTCGTTCTAGTTTCGTTAACAATGTGCACAGAAGGTTACGAATCGTCTCGTCTTTCTAATCCTTCGATTCTTTAAACGAACCCCAAACGTGGTTCGTAAGTTGAACGTTTGGAGCCAGCGAGACGTGAAACATGATATCGCTGCATATAATTATCCGCTCGAATTTCGCCTCTGCTGCACGAAAGATGAACGTGCTCACCCTGGAGCGATGTTCATTTTACGAATCATCGCTGTACGCACTCTATCAAAACACTTTGAAGCTTACAATAGATCGAGGGTTCCTAATATGGCTTAGCAAAAGTTAGTCATTCTAGTTTCGTAAAGAGTAAGTTAACATAATATAGTTACGCGTTTCAAACAAACTCAGTCTCCTCCAGTGCTTAAATGCTATGAAATTGATTTATAAAAGTCTGTGAATTCCATTTTCTTCCTTTTGAAGATCCCAAAACATGGATCCTTTTCGACCAACGTCGATCGCGATAGAAGTTTCGCTTCGTATCATACGGAATACGAAAGATGTTTTATCGAGAGTTGCTCAAACCAGGTGAAACAGTCACAGTGGATCATTATCGACGCCAATTGATCGTTTCAACGATGAATTGGAGCGACGGAGACCGTTTACTGGTCAAGGAAACCCGTAGAGTCATAGCACTGCATAGCAACGTTCGTCCACGCGTTGCTCGGACGACGAAAGATGTCACCCTTCAGCTTGCGCTGGAAACTTCTTCAAACTTGGCCACCGTGTCCTCTTCCGGTCGTTCCGGCGTTGCTCGATCGACTCACACTTCAACGAAGTCGACGATGTCCGAGAATATGATCGACGACTTTATCGCTTCAAAATCGCCAGGCTTCTATCGCAATGGAATCCGCCATGCTGAAAGGTGGAGGAAAGTTACTGACAATACCGAATATTTCCGTGATATATATTAGTCTCGTATCCGTTTAGTAACGAGTCATCCTTTCGATGAATTCACAAGAATTTTATTAGAGAAAAATCATGCAGCTACTGGAAGATAGGAGCAAAATGTAATTTAATTATAATTTAATCACAATATTGCTTAGTTTATTTATTAATTAATACGTAGACGTATAAGTGACCAATAATTTCTTCCTACAATTAAAAAAAAAATTAAAGGATATAGTTTCAAAAAATATTTTATCTTTGCATACCTTTAATCGAATATACTTAAGAGGTGTACTATATTTATAAAAATGTTAATTTAACATAAAAAATTACAGATTAGATTCTTTACTCGTAACGAGTCACCGATATATTTATCGTCATTAAAACCACTTTGAAGAATTTATATTCATCATGATTGTTCACGAATAAAATAATCAATTATTTATCATATGGAACAGGTTAAGAGTAATCACAAAACGAATTAACAGGACGTGAATAAAATACGAACGCGCAATTATAATATTCGTTGGCTCCGGAAGTCGTATCGAAGCGGACAACGACGCAAAGCGTCGACGCGATGCTTTTTGGTTCGAGTTTAGCCTCGACGAGCATCGAAAAAGAATACAGGAACAATAAGAGTAATGCCGCTTTCAAAGTTCTACTACGAATTAAACCCTCGAAATACTCCGATGACCCTATCGAAAGGCTGGCTACGATCCAAACCCGTTCAAAACTCCAAACGAGCCTGACACCAGCGAAACAGATAGCGACGAACAATCACCGATATTAACGAAGCTCTTCACTCGTAACATTCCTAAGAAATCCAAATATATCTTTTGATTTCCACTCTGTCGATTCGATTAAAAATTCGCTCCGATTCGAAATGGGAAAAGGATAATTTATTTGTGATTCCAAAATCAATGTAAAACGATTTTGAAAAATCTTGATAAAATTCTTATTTCTCATTCTTCTATGTAAATAGTACGAAGCAATCTCAATTTTAAACGAAATATTATCTAGTCCATTCGAGTTACTTGTTTTGGAATGTATGAGATTACTTACTTGCACCAAAATACAATAAATATACGTATATGTATGTGTTGGTCGTGGATTAGGTTTAATTGAGATTTACTTGTGTAATTATAAGCTTAACTATTAATGTTTATTATAAGTATATTGGTGAATATAAGATATAGCACACGTGGTGGACAACACAGCAAGAAAGATCTCGCAATACACACACACTTACGCACACATGGCGGGGCAATACGAGTTTCTATTTCAACAGTATATGGAAGATTAACATCGAATTAACAATTTTAAACCCTGATTGTTCCCCGAATAGAATAGTCCTCTTTGCACCAATATTCAATTTGCTAGTCGACTGTGAACGTAAAAGCGTAAAAGCGATGGTTCTAGGTTAGAGTGGGCCTCAGTCAATAGGTTAATGTACTGAACAAGGTCGACGGCTGAATTAAAATACTAAATCGTAAAATTGTCTCCTTGACTCCGTTCGGCGACTAGCCACAGTTGCAATCTAGTTTCCTAAAACGCCTAACGGTCTCAAAGCAATTCTACACGCTTGAATTCCGCAATCTCTCGCGAACCTTGAGCGTCACGGAACGGACTGTAAAATGCAATTGTACCTTTGTTACAGGCGAGGAAATCGTAACAGTGCCTCCCACGAGCGGAGGCCAGGATAGCTGGAAGGTGCAGACACTTTCGTTGAGCACCGAATCGCCGAGCAATCGTCGTAAAGGCTGTCGTCCTCAGGTGCAAGCGGTGTCCGCTGGGAAACGTACGCGTCCAGCCCCGCCCCCGCCGCCGATATCCTGCAAGGTCAATGCCAAGGACATCAACAAGTACTTCGATTGGCCGAACAAGGAGAACACGCCCGGAAATGCCGTGAACGCAGCGGAGGGGACGAACGAGGCCCAGTTGGAAAACGAACAGCCAACCATGGGCTCGAATTTGAGTCGTCACAACGGAAAGGGCCTCACGGGCCGTAGGACCCAATCCTCCGGGAACTTGTGCGAACCCAAGGGAAAGCTGAACACCATGGGCAAGATCCTGGTTCCGTGCTCCAGCGCGCAGAGAGAAAGGTGAGTTTTTGGTACTTATGATTTGGGACTGTAATTTGTAATCGTTAGTGCTGAAAACGATTGCAATTAGAATTGTAGCTCTTGTGTGGAGGAAAAGAAATTGTGGGAGGGGGTTGTTCTTTTGCATATATCCGGGGCAAAGGTGAGTTTTTGGGGACTCACGATTTGGGAGTGTAATTTGTAATCGTTGGTCCTGAAAACGATTGCAATTAGAATTGCAGCTCTTGTGTGGAGAAAAAGAAATTGTGGGTGGGGGTTATCCTCTTGCATATATCCGGGGCAAAGGTGAATTTTTGGAATTTATAATTTGGGGACTTACGATTTGGAACTGTAATTTATAATCGTTAGCCCTGAAAACGATTGCAATTAGAATTGTAGCTCTTGTGTGGAGGAAAAGAAATTGTGGGAGGGGGTTGTTCTTTTGCATATATCCGGGGCAAAGGTGAGTTTTTTGGACTTACGATTTGGGACTGTAATTTGTAATCGTTAGTCCTGAAAACGATTTCAATTAGAATTGTAGCTCTTGTGTGGAGGAAAAGAAAAACATATTGTAAATATTTTTTTTTTAATGGGTTTTTTCTATAATTTCTCGCCATTGAAAGGATATAAAATATTTAGTTACTTAATATTTATTGACAGTACATGAATGTAGTAAAATATCACACGGTGACAGTAATCTAAAATCGAACACGTTCGAATGCCGCTCCAGCGATCCAATTAACCGGCTCTTTTTCCCCCTGCAATTATTTGCAAAATGTTTTCTGTTTTTGAGAGGTGAACAAATTGGGTTCAGTTTAAATGAAATGCGTTCCCTTCGATCTCGCGCGTTCAAAACTGATAAAATACGTACAATCGACCGAACGAGGCTACGTGCAGCCGTTTAGTGTGATACAAAAGCTAAAATGAACGAAGAATTTTATTTAAAATACGTGTTTATACGCTTGTTTTATCAGACTGTTTAAAATACTGATCCAATATAAAGAAGAACTAAAAAAAATTGAAAACTTTTAAATTATGCTTGTTAAAAGATAAATTGATTAAATAGTATGCATTTTAAACTTCTTCTGGGCCCTCTTCAGGTACGATATTAGGAAAAAGCACGTGTTGATTAGCCAATTCGAAACTCGATATACAGGGCGTTCGGTCACCCCTGGGAAAAATTTTAATGGGGAATTCTAGACGCCAAAATAAGAAGAAAATCAAGAATACCAATTTGTTGATGAAGGCTTCGTTAAAAAGTTATTAACAATTAAATTCAAAAATTTCAAATCGTTCTGGAAAAATTATTTTCGGTTGCGGGGGTCAATTACAATCATTTTTGGTGAATAGAGATACCCTTGAATTCCTACCCACTTTCTAGAAAAAAATCGAGAAGGTGTGAAATTTTTCGACGGAAACAAAAATTTCAAATCGTTTTGGAAAAATTATTTTCGGTTGCGGGGGTCAATAACAATCATTTTTGGTCATTACACATATCCCCGAATTCCTACGCACTTTCGAAAAAAAAAATCCTTACCGAAAATCTAATTGGGTGCCTAAATTCGACGAAAAAGAAAATTTCAAATTGTTCTGGAAAAATTATTTTCGGGTGCGGGGTTCAATTGCAATCATTTTTGGTGAATAGAGATACCCTTGAATTCCTACCCACTTTCTAGAAAAAAATCGAGAAGGTGTGAAATTTTTCGACGGAAACAAAAATTTCAAATCGTTTTGAAATAATTATTTTCGGTTGCGGGGGTCAATTACAGTCATTTTTGGTGAATAGAGATACCCTCAAATTTCTACCCACTTTCTAGAAAAAAAATCGAGAAGGTGTGAAATTTTTCGACGGAAACAAAAATTTTCAAATCGTTTTGGAAAAATTATTTTCGGTTGCGGGGGTAAATTACAATCATTTTTGATGAATAGACATACCCCCGAAATCCTGCACATTTTCGAGAAAAAAATTCTGTACTAGCAGAACTTTAAACGTTAATAACTTTTTAACGAAGCCTCAATCAATAAATTAGTATTCTTGATTTTCGTCTTATTTTGGCCCCTAGAATATCCCATTAAAATTTTTCCCCGGTGTGGTCGAACACCCTGTATACAAATAGAACGACTTGTCAATTCGATACATATTTCCCTTCGACCCCGTAAGAACCAAAGGCCAGTGTACCAGAGGACTGATTTGATTAAGGTGCGAACTACATTAGAGCTAAAACACTAAACCGGAAGCGCGTTGTAATTAAATCCACCAGGAAGATGAGACAGCGAAGATAGTCGGGCAAAGCGAATGCCGTTGTACTTTCGCACGAATGAAATCCTCTTTTGTCCCAACTGCGAAATTCTTCTACATAATCAAATCCGGCTGCATTATTGTAGCATATTCAATTCTGCGAGGCAATTAACTGATAACAGGATTTTGGAGAAAGCGCTGTGCAACGCGATTCTAAATGAGTTCGCGGCAAAAGTGAACTGAATTCCTGCGTGCGTCGCTCTAGAGCGAAGAATTTTAAATTGAACCGCTAATAAGTGAGCATTTCGAATTCTGATTACCGCAATTTGACATTCGATTAACTTAATTTAAGAATGGAACTAATTCGTTCAAAATTCACGTTTCGAAAAGAAAAATAAATATATATTTCAAACACGGTATCAGACCACTGTCATTTATTTTTATTTTTTTTATTCGTGAACAAAAAACATGCAGCGTAGTTTATTGATAATTTCATTTAAAAATTGAATCAATTTATTACACATAGAGTACCAAATTCATAAAATATGATATTGAAACAATGAAGATGATAATACATATAAATTGAAAAGTAATTTTAAATGTCGACAAGAAATATACTAGTAATAAATTTATAATTGTTCGATCGACACCGTTTTACTTCCGTATTATACAAATTCATCTCGCCACGCCCTTCGCTCGATTTAATTGTTAAAAACGAGTGCCCGGTCGAACGATCGAAACGAATTGTTGAAAATAATAAAGAATGACGGAGGGTGGCGTCGAATTAGAGCGAGAACTATTCATAACCGGAATTAAACGCGTTGCTGGGGATTTCTCGTTACGAAACCGGTGCTCGGTGTTGCTTAAACAACCAGCAACGGCGTGGCATAATCTGGCATAACAAGTTGGTCGTGGGATAATTTAAAGTCCCTTTAAGGTCAGTCAGTCGCAGAACTGGAGCGGTTTCCATTAAATCCTCGTTTGCGCGAAAACGGATAGCGAGCAGAGAGGCAACAGAAGAAGAAGGGCGTCGAAAAATGAGAGAGAAAGGGCGCTCGCGTCTTGATCTCGTTTGCGTAAGTGCTGTTGTTTACCTGATAAAGGCGGATCCACACCATCCAACGAGCATCCGTCCGCCATTGTAACATCCTTCGGTGGGTTTTGCATGGAGATGTTCACGCTTGTCCGCCCGCTGTTCAGCCTGTAAAGCTCTTTGAAGGATATCTCGGCGGACGGTTGCCTGACGGATAGTGTGGATCGGCATTAATAAAGAAATTACGAAGACAAGATACAGAAGTAAACTCTTTGCGGTCGGGGCTCTTACAAGATCGTTACCCAGACGCTCGTAGCTGCAGCGCTGGTTATATAAAGGCTGTTTCATAATGTGGATATAATTACGGAGTAGAATGTACGGTGAAATAATAGTAATAATTCGTGGCAGGATTTATCCCCAAATCGATGGATAGCTTAAGATAAAAGTAAAACGATTTTCCAGTGTTCGTTACGGGGTCGATAAAGCGTAGCGTTTTGACTGTAAACAGAGGAAAGTTCTAAATTATATAGAAACACGTAACGCTGTGTAATCTTGGAGAGTTCGAACGTGAGTAGTAAATTCTAGAACATAGTAGAAGCTATGATATAAACATGTGGCCGAAATACATTATTAACCACTAAAAATTGTATGAAAGTTTAAACGTAAATGAAAATGTACTTTGCTGGATAATACATGAAGCTGGTAATAAGCACAATATCGTGTTTAGTTGTAACAGCAAACAAATTTATAGAAATATCTTCTGAATCGTCGAGAATATTTAAACCAGAATTTAAACTAAATAAGAATTTTGTCCATCTCTTGTGAAAGGGATGGTCATTTAGCAACGAATGAAAGTGGAGATGGAAGTAATAAATTATAACAACCATGCTTATTGGACCTTGCACGAATTTTTATATTTCCAAGCAATTATCGGTCCCGTTGTCTTGCAATTATCAAGGTTCTACACGTAGAATAGAAACACGTAACGCTGTGTAATCTTGGAGAGTTCGAACGTGAGTAGTAAATTCTAGAACATAGTAGAAGCTATGATATAAACATGTGGCCGAAATACATTATTAACCACTAAAAATTGTATGAAAGTTTAAACGTAAATGAAAATGTACTTTGCTGGATAATACATGAAGCTGGTAATAAGCACAATATCGTGTTTAGTTGTAACAGCAAACAAATTTATAGAAATATTTTCTGAATCGTCGAGAATATTTAAACCAGAATTTAAACTAAATAAGAATTTTGTCCATCTCTTGTGAAAGGGATGGTCATTTAGCAACGAATGAAAGTGGAGATGGAAGTAATAAATTATAGCAACCATGCTTATTGGACCTTGCACGAATTTTTATATTTCCAAGCAATTATCGGTCCCGTTGTCCTGCAATTATCAAGGTTCTACGGTGAAGCGTAATATTAGAGCAGTTTTCGGGGCATTAGTTTTTCGCATAACAATTAGTCACGCGTAGTAAATTTTATAATTAAATCGTAAAGCTCGTCGTCGTCTGGTTTTCGAGTACAAAGTCGTTGGCTCGAGATATTAATAAAACGGATAAAAGTTGAAATTGCAGCCACGAAATCGCTAATGGACGACGGAATATCAAAGAAAACTGTTATATCTCGACATTACGCGAGCGTATAGGTCGCGTCTTATTAAAATGTCTTCCGCATAATTTGATTCTGCAATGGTCGTATATACGGGGGATTTCTGCATTCAACGGGAAACGTGATATTGCTAATAATATCACGTGCGAACGACGGTAATAATTTTGGGCGTAATTTGTCGCAAACTGCGCATCACACCTGACTGACTGTGTAACATCCGGACGTGACCTTAATGCAAAACGAAGGAGGAATTCTATTCGGTTATGAAGATTCTTTTCCGCGATAAATTGCCAACTCCTGACCCCCAACACTTGGTAGCTTTCATTGCCTACCTTAAAAAGTATCTTAACCGTAAATTATTGTTTAACAAAAATGCCATAATCTCGACGTTGTTTATGTATTAGATTTGATAATCTTTCTTCAGAATTGTCGAACAATACTGCCCTGATTCATTTTTTACACATGGTACCCTTTCAAGTTGGAAATGGAAATACTTTATTTCATGTCATAAATATGTATTTAGGCTCCTTGAAACAATTGAGTTTGCTGTTGATAACGTATCTGTAAAAATTAATTGTTTTTCTGAGCTTGACGGGCCATTTCTTATTTTACCGACCGGGTTAGTCTGTTTTACCGACCGGTGGTCTGTTTTATCGACCTGGTTAGATCTGTTTCACCGACCGGGCGGTAGGTCTGCAATATGCATGAGTCACCAGAAGCAGCAGGACACTTGCATAGTTCTGTTCGAAGCGCACGTTTTGCTTTTCGTGGATTTTCCACCGAGCGTTCACGAAGAACACGACGTTCCTTTTGCAGATACAAATTCTGTGGCTCGTTGCCCAATCATCTGGACGACAAGGACACGCTAGACGACGACCAAAAGGAAAATAATAACATAATGACGGACACAATCACCGGGAATCTCGGTGGAACGTTGCCACACAAGAAACGATCGTTGGGCGTACATTTTTCGGACGGAGGACCGACTGGCGCTTTGGATCTCGTCAAGCACCGGTCACAGGACTCCGTCGATGAAAACGATCCTTGGAGGTACGTGGTTTCTTTGTATTATATTCGTAAAATATAAAATAAATGTCATAAGCATATATCAGGCTCAAAATCTTCCAATAAGAACGATAGAAGTCACCCAACAATTTTTATATCTTCGCGACGTAGTGTTCATTGGTCAAAATTTTCTAGTAAAAATTTTTATTTGACTCAGAACGCGTTACAGAATTTTTTAAACCGACATGGTGAAGTTCGAAAAATTTTTAACCGTTCTAGAATAAAGCCCCGGTTAAATAAAAATTAGTTCCGCTTCGAAATTTCCATAAATCCGTGGATTTTTGCAGATACCAGCAGAGCGACCTTGATCTGGTCAGGTGTCGCCACGGGAATTTCGATTCCGTGAGCAGAAATCGAAGCACCGACGCGGTATCCGGCGATTTAACAAGAAGGTACTCCCGCGGGTCGTCTCTGGACGACAGGTGTCATCGAAACTCGGATCTTGACCTGGTGGGCACGTTGCCTAGACGGAAACAGGACGCCAGAAACTGCGGGAAGGTTTCCGAGACCAACTCCTCGTCCTCGCAGACTAGCAACCCTGACGGGGCGGACAACGATTTGCTGATGCAGATCGTCCACAAACCCGATTGCGAGCTGGTCAGGCATCGACAACAGCTGAGCAAGTGCATTGACCTTAAATTGAGCAAACTGGCCGGCGGAGAGCCGCAGGATCAAGGTTACGCGTCGGAACGTTCGCCGGAAGACGAGCATCCTCCATCTTTGCCTGGACAGCCGTTCCCAAATATAACACCTGGTGAGTAATTTCTATTTACAATGATTTAATCTATTAACTTTTATCGAAGGAACGATATTCGTTTAATTAGACTAGTCTTCGACGAACAGAAGCAGAGAATTTTGGCTAGTTCTTTAGGCCTCTTGAGTCCATCGTCAAAATTAATTAATATATATTATTAAATGTGATCTGTGGGAAGTCAGAACAGTAATTCGCATACTTCTAGACCAGTGTTACTGTTATAGCTATAGAATTTCGTGGTACACCATAAATGTTAAGATCGATCCCAAGAATGTCACATTCGAGTGGATGCTGTGATAGGTTTCTAAATATGTATATTTCAAAATTCACAAATTTGAAAATTTAGATGACAGTAATATTTTATTAAAAAATTCTGGATTTGTAGTTTCTTAAAATTTTTAAATATTTTTTACAATGATTCGTGGCTATAGTTGTTCAAAATTCTGACAGTAACGATAGTAATAATGCTTGAGAAATATGTACAAATATGACTGACACAAACGAGTCCATTTTATACATATAGAACAGACAGTAGTGTTTCGTAAGTTTAATATGAAATTTTTAACGAAGATTTTTCGAAATTATTCGTCACAGAGACTAATTCAAACGTCGCTCGAAGATAAAATCACGAATATTTAAAATAGAAAATATTAGAAATGTCCCTCTATTAACGGAGCGCCAATTTAAATAGCAGCACGACGCCAAAAATTATTGATTACGATGAAACGTCAACGAGGCAGATCGTAGACGATTGTGCAACGACGCTGGCGCGTAACTTATACTTTTGTACTTATTACGCTTTCTCCGGACAGATCAATATGGAGACAGTATACAGTGTCCCGGGAGCTGACCAATAAACTTACTCGACATGTTTGGCAGGTCATTTCGAAACAAAAGTGTCCTATAAACTGTGGGTCTGCTTCCATTCGTTATCGAGTTACGGCAAAAACAAGATACTGCTACGACCAAACGATGGTCTTTTTACTTTATGCTTGTTTTTCTATTGTATCGTTTTGCTTTCATGTAAAATCGGAGATATTGCACAAATTGGCGGCTTTCCATCTGCAAACGTTATACTGTTTCTTTTGAAAGATCGTGGAGCGACGAGGATCCGCGAAGTTTGGCCATCGCCACCGATTTTCAACCATGACAGTTCCATTGTCTCCGTAACAAAAATTGTAAACGAATACGGTATCAGCGTATTCCGAGTTTTTAAAACGTAGCAGGCATCGCAAACTGTACGACAGAAACAGGCTGTTTAATCTAACTACAGAATTAGATTGATTTGCAAGTGTTATAGACAGCCTAAGCCTTCATCGGCACAGAGACTGCCTATTTCAATAACGAATGAAAATAAATTTATAGCACGTATGACCTCTTTGGGTCTGACATGTCAAGTATCTTGAGAAAGTTTCTCAATTACCGTGCAATACTTAGATCCAACTGTACACACAGAATTAACAGCTGGATATAAATATAAATTCTGCAAACCGCGACTGATATACTTTTCAAAAATATTTCATTTTGCTGTCGTTATCTAAAAGTTAGATAGAATCGATTGGAAAAAAATTTGACTTCGACGTTCTGTTATATCTGTTGACTTAAACGCAAGGTTTCCATGTCGTATCTAATCGAGGTAAACGTCTCTTCCGGGATTTACGGTAAATACAATATTTAGCAAGTGATTAAATACGGCGGGCTACAAACGTGAAGAACAAACACAATCCGCCGGGCCAGTGACGTAATATATCCCCTTGCGATTTTTTTGTTTCCTCCCCGAGGTTTCTTTCCACGTTACATTTATCTCGTTCCACTTGCAATTTCTTTCGGTCTGATCGCTTCAAAACTTCTCTTGTTACGCTGTGTATTCTTCCTCCCCATTCTCATTTTCTTCCCTGACCAACAGGAAGCTGTCTCGCTGCTGTTCTTATTTCGGTTCTCTATTTTCCTTCGACTCGGCCAGTCCTACTTTAATATCGTTCCAGTACAGTGTATCCACTTCTTTGCTACTTTTTACCATTTACACTTTAGTATCGAAGGGAGAGAAGAAAAATCTGTCTGGTGAGGAGCCGCGAGACTTTGTAGGTCAAACGAAAATTCAGGAAACGTAACGTCGTGCGCGAGTAGAGTAGCTCGTACGTAACGCGAGACCATTTTTTCTTGGTGCCATGTAATACACTTTGGAAAAAATGCAGATTTCTCTCATTCCCGTAATATCTCCGGTAGAATGGACATCGGAAAAAATGTTCAAACAAAAGTCTTCTTTCTATATTTACGAGACATATACAAGTTGACATCTCTAAAAAACTTTTTATAAAATCCCTCATGATTCTGAAAACATTTCACGAGACAGAAAAGTCTGTATTTTATTCTGGGAATTGTACAACCCCCGCGGATCCTATTACAACAACGAAAAATAGTTTCGCGTTACGGATGAGCTGCTTTATTTAAACGCGATGATTCAGGATTTTCAGACCTTTCCAGAGCAAAACTTGCTTCAGTGTCCATATTTCATCTTCTTACGATACAATTTTTGCGTATCATTAAAATCATTTCTTTTCTTCCCCTCGTCTTCGCCACATTTTCTTCTATTATATTATCTCATGAGAATCCTTTTACCTTTTTCCCCTCCCCACATTGGCGAATTTCTTGCTTTTATAACTGCAGCGTTATTGCCTCTTCAATCTGCTTACTGTTTTCCATTTGGCTTTGAAATTTCTACCGTCGTTTTTAACTGACCTTTATCCTTGCAATAAAACTTTTTTTTATTTTCCTTTCTCGTGTACCGCTACGCATCGTAAACATTTTTATAATCGTATCCCCGGGCCGGGACGGTTGATTTCAACGTGTCTGCCATTTTTCTACACCGCATTGTCGTAGATACCAGACGACATCTCGTCTATCTCGTACTCTGTACGTGTCAGAAATGTTTTAGGATACCTATTCCCCCGTTTCTGCGCCCATCGGGCGTTTCTTGGTCCTTGGTTCTATCATTTTCCAGCAACGAGCAAGCTTTTTGCCGTCTAGCCGGCGTCACGTCAAGTGGTATAGGGTAGGAACACAATGGCCGAGTAAGGACGAGGAACTCGAGCTTGACACACTTTTGTCGAGTGAATTTCGCGGATAAGACGTACAGGTATCTTCTGGGAATCCTTTGTGGCTGATAGGCGACGAAGTGTGCGTCGAATTCAAGGCTCTTTGTCGCGGAAAGCAATGCGCCGGTTAAAATGAATGTGACGACGGATTCTATTCTTCTTTCCCTTTCACCGCCTCGACATCCTATCTATCTTCAGTGGTTTTGCCAGTAATCTGTTTCCGATGGAAAAGATACTTTATTGCTGAGAATGTAATAACGTCTGGACGTCGCGTGACTTTATTCGACGACTCTTTCTATTAATTTTGCTTCTGTCGGTGCTCCCGTCGCGTTATTAACCCTTTCTGCTCGAGTGCCAGGACATTCTCAGCGGCGTACATTCGTCAAAGGAACGTTAAATTAGATTTAAAAAGAAGAGGTTGTAAATGTCCAACTTACGAATCATCATTTTAAGGGGTAACACCACTGTAGAAACATAAAATAAAGCGTTTTTTCGCGATTTTTTTTTGGATGGATGGAAAAGTAAGAGGATAATTTTATTAAGCATGTCATTAAGTGTTCAAAAAAAAATATTTATTCAGAAATAGTGCAAAATGACGTCACTGGAGCCCTTCTCGCGAGACGTGAATCTGAGGCGCTCTGCTGCACGCAGTGTAACTGACACAAATTTGTATTTGGAAAAAAATCAAAAATTTTCTCTTAATCTACATGAGTATAGCTAGAGAAGTACGTAGGGGATTTTTAAAATATTCATTTTTGTGGGATTGGCGAGCATTTGAAGTAGAAAGTCCAATTCTGTACAAAATATGGGGCATTCATTTGTCAATATATAATGTTAAAATCAACTTATCGAAACTCCCCTACGTACTTCTCTTCGGAATGTTAGTTTCAAGATATGGCCAAAATTTTGAGTGAATAGAATGAAAATTGTTGAAATAACACTGCGTGCCGTTTTAAGAAATCGTGTTTCGAGAAGAACGCCTTTAAAGCTTTGACATGTGTTATGGACGTGAAAGAATGAAAAATTTGATTGTTTAAAAATTTTTACCATTAGTCTGCTATCCCAGGACCATAAAACTGACCTTCTCTGCTTAAATATTCTTCCTCACATTGTTTCCTCGTCGATTTTATCTCTTTTGCCGTATCTGTCAAAGACTGCTCCACGTGCTTGATCCGCCTAGCAGCAGCTTCAAGACAAAAATTGTACGCTTGAAGGTCAATATCTGTCTCCAAAACTTTTATAATCCGCAGAATGTTAGTCAGGTCGTCGTTAAAAGCGCATACAGCAATATCAGTCGCTATATTCAATGCTTTTTTGCCACTTGAGTAGGACTTAGGAGGATTCATGTTTGCTATTGTTTGTTTTTAAAATTTTTTATATTTTTAATTTGTAACTTATTATATTATGAAATATGTATATGTTACCGTGAATGACCGAAATTGGAGAATGTCAACTTTCACCGGTGAATGTCAACAGATACCAAATACGTCGGTGAAAGATCGAATATTTCATTACATTCTCTCCGGTGTGTGTCGACAATCACAGATATGCTCTGGTGGAGGTCCAAAACAGAAGAGTCAAAAAACAAGCGACTGGCTCTCTCCTGCCAAATCCTTTGTTCTGCTAGGAGTCAATCAGCTTTGTCAGTCTTATGCAAGCTTTGATAACGCGAGCAACGTTTTCTTAATTTTTTTTCCGATACCCTAATTTATACTAAATGGATACTGCAGTAAATCGTGATCTTTTTCTAACCCAGACCTAACCCAGACCTAACCCAGACATAACCCAGACCTAACCCAGATCTAATCCAGACCTAACCCAGACCTAACCGAGACATAACCCAGACCTAACCCAGACTTAATTCAGACCTAACCCAGACCTAACCCAGACTTAATTCAGACTTAT